AAATTCATACTCCATTCTTTCTTCCTGTATGCTGATAGAAGGTTATACCTGAAACAAAAGTTTGCTACTTGTCTCTATTAGAGCCAAAATATCTGGGCATCCCTGAGGGACTGTAGGCCACCAGCAGCAGTACAACCTACAACCTCATAGCGTGGCATATTGTCTGCTCGACTATTACCATCAAGCCAGGGGATCAACCTGGGTTCAATGAAGAGTGCAGGAGGGCATACCAGGAACAGCACCAGGCACACCAGAAAATGAGGTTTCAACCTGTTAAAGCTACAAATCAAGACTAGTTGCATGCCAAGCAACATAAGCAGCAAGTGATAGACAGAAATATATGATTCCTCAACTTATTGGTCAGGTCTAAGCTCTGCAGTCCTGCTCTATCCAGTTGTGAATAGTGGTGAAATGTTAAACAACTCACTAGAGGAGGAGGTTCCACAAATACCCCCATCCTCAATGATGGGGGATCCCAATATATCAGTGCAAAAGACAGGGCTGAAGCATTTGCACCAATCTTCAACCAGAAATGCTGAGTGGATGGTCCATCTTGGTCTCCTCCAGAGGTCTCTAGCATCACAGATGTCAATCTTCAGCCAATTCGATTCACTCCAATAAATCTCTCATCCTTCTAACCTCAAAGGGATAAGGATTCATCTTGTCCAATCTTCCCTCATAAATTGAGCCACACCACATTCCAGATTTACATTTTATATTGCATCCCGGTGGTGTTTTGAATGGAATTGAATTGTGGCTTTACCTGAAATGAAAACAGTCTGTATATACTTAATGAAGATGTATTTTGACTTATTTAGCAACACAATAATGGTGGAATGGTGGCACGCTGGTTAGCACTCTGCCTCACAGCACCAGGGACCTTGGTTCAAATCCAGCCTTGGGCAACTGTTTGTTGTTGCTGTGTCTGTGTGAGTTTCCTCCTGCAGTCCAAACATGTGCAGGTTAGTTGGATTGGCCATGCTAAAAATTGCCCCGTAATGACCAGGAATGTGTATGTTAAGTGGGTTAGCCATTGTACAAAAGCCCATGCTGGGTTGCAGGGATGGAGTGGATTTTGGGTGGAATGCTCTTGGGAGGGTCAGTGCATGCTCGACGGGCCAAATGGCATCTTTCTGCACTATGGGAGATTTTATGATTCTAAAACAATTGTGGCACCCTAAATGCTCCATACCCCTCATCTCCACTGCTTGACAAATAATTGGGTGAATCAATCCTGACAACCTGTGTTTTCAGTGTCTGGATGAGGTAACATATCTGTTCCCCCGAGTATAAGGTGTGAGTCTGTGTGTGTGCTTCCTAAGGAGAAAGTGGGGCTTTGTCAGCAGTTGAGTTTGGGGAATTCTGAAGGTTAGGGTCAGGTTTCCACACGTGTCTAACATGCTGAGGAAAAACGACTGGAGTGTGGAAGAGGCGAGGTGCAGGAGGCTCAGTCTGTTCTGCAGTGCTGGTGAGTGCAGTTGCTGTGAGTGTGCATGTTCGAGACGCATTGCCACTCTCGTCCTCTCTCGCTGCACGGTAAGAGCATTAATCCTTCCTCACTGCAGCTTGGATCTGCCCCCAACAGAAAGAACCTGAACTGAACAGAGATGCTCCGGCTGACTGGAAGTGTACCTTCCCTCAGGACCTGCTCTGCCCGCAGAAAGCTCAGCATCTGGAAATCTCCTTGTCCCTTTCCAAGGTAAGAGATGATTAAAACGGATATCGAAGAGACTTATGTTTCTTTTTGTTTTTTTTTTAAACATTTTAAATTGAGGAGCGGGACAGTTGAAGAAGTAATGCGCAATAACACCATTCGTGCTTTTAGACCTCCATAAACTTTTCCAGGTATTTCAGTGTGTTTCGATGGGAATAAAATGCTGAGCGGATGTGTCAGCTAATGATAGAGGTCTGTTGGTTCAGCCTGCAATACAGTTTCTGCATCAGTCAATCTTCAACGTGAAAGAGTTACTGTCCTGAAATTCAAACTCCCCCCAACCCTCTCCATCTGGTCTATTACATCGTGCTGAAAATAATATCTCCCACTGGGTTAATTTTCATGTAATGATTAATGGGTCCTAGCTGTAGAACACACTTCTTAAATCTTTCTGCCCGTCTCCCCTCCCCACCAAAATCCTCCTTTAACCATAGACCCGTTTCTGGAACCTAGTTTATGGCTCCCTGATTTCCCTCTTTATATGGCTCAGCATCAAATTCTGCCTGATAGTGCTATTGTTGAAGCCCTTGGGACATTTTGTTTTGTTAAAGAAGCTATTTAAATTCAACTTGTACTTGCACAGCAGAGCTGAATCTCAGCAAAAATTGATTGATTTGGATCTTGCTTGCCCTCAGCAGTGGGACTGATTTATCCCTGCTGGTTCCTTCCCCCATCCCCACCCTCTTTAATCACCTTTCATTCTTTCTCAATATTTGGTTTGTCAATTCTGAGCATGTTTTTGCAGGCAACCAGATTCCGCTTTACCCTGGCCACTCATTATTTTGTTTGTAACTCTCTTGATCCATCCTTTCTTCCCCTCGTCAATACTCAAAAGCTGTTCCAATCCTCTTCTCTTTGGCCTCCTACAAAACCTTGCATTGTCATAGAGTCATAGAGATTTACAGCATGGAAACAGACCCTCCGGTCCAACTCGTCCATGTCGACCAGATATCCTAAATTAAGCTGGTCCCATTTGCCAGCATTTTGCCCATATCGCTTGAAACCCTTTCAATTCATATGTCTATCCAGATGCCTTTTAAATGTTGTAATTGTACCAGCCTCCACCATTTCCTCTGGCAGATCATTCCATACACACACCACCCTCTGCATGAAAATGTTGCCCTTTAGGTCCCTTTTAAATCTTTCCCCTCTCACCTTAAACCTATGCCCTGTAGTATTAGACTCCCCTACCCTGGGGAAAAGCACTTGACTATTCACCCTATCCATGTCCCTCATCATTGTGCTCTTGTCTCCCGGAAATTGTCCGCTGGGAAATGTGGTGAGGGAACACATGTCTTATTCGCATCTGTAGGAGCTTGTTCTTTGCCCAGAAATGAATTTAACATCGAGGTTAGGTTTGAGCAAAGGAAATTGAAGTGTGCATTTTTTAGGATAGGTTTTGATAAAATAAGCAAAAAAAAATGTTCCTATTCACTGAAGTTACAAGGATGAGGAGACACAGATTTAGAATTTTTTGAGGAAGAACCACCAAGAGGTTACGAAGAAGAACTATTTTATACAGTGAGTGATGATGACCTGGAACTTGCGAGCATGGTGGTAACGGGCAGTCAATGATTTCAAAAAGAAATTGAATAGAGAGAAATAAACTTGCAGAGCCATGAGGATAGATGAGGCTAACTGGATTGTTCAACAGGGAGCTAGCATGGACTCAATGGGCCTAATTGCTTCCTTCTATGCCATTCAGACTCTATGTCTCAAACACCAAGCTGGGTATCAGGTATTTCTCCAGCTCCTCATTTATTCCATCTTATCCTTAGTTTATCTTATTGCAACCTCTCCAGTCTGTGGTTCCTATTGTTTAATCTGTAGGCCATGTCGCTTCTTCTTGAGTTTCTTACATTTCCATGCATCTTCCACTCCCCTAACCTAACTCAGCTTTCTAAACCTTTCGAATAAGTTTCTGTGTTGTTTTATAGAATGAGATGGGTGAAACGTCTATGCTGCTCTCATCCTGTCCAGTTGTGTTCAGGTACAGGCCACCAGGATTATTGCTTGCAAGAAAAACAAAGTTGCTGGAAAAGCTCAGCAGGTCTGGCAGCATCTGAGGAAGGGTCACCAGACCCGAAACATTAATTCTGTTTTTTACTTCACAGATGCTCCCAGACCTGATGAGCTTTCCCAGCAACTTTGTTTTTGTTCCTGATTTACAGCATCTGCAGTTCTTTCGGTTTCCATTTAGGATTATTGCTTGGATGAATTAGTACCTGATTTCTGAAGGTTTCATCATTGCTGCCCCTAATTTCTCAGCTGTAAGTCTGATCCATGCTCGGGCACAAACCTTAAGAGCGCTCCCACCTTTCGGTCGGAAGGTTGTGAATTCAAGCCTTGTTCAAGACATGAGCAAAACATTGATGATGATACCTCATTACAATACTGGTAGAATATAGCACTGCTGGAGGGGCCCTTCTCTCAGTTTGAGATGTCAAAATGACTGCCCTCTCTGGTGGATGTAATGGTCCCATTATTCTGAATGATATTTATCCTGCAATTAATATCACACAAACAAATTTTCTCATGATTATTATTATTTTTGTGAAATATAGTTAAGTTTAGCTATTACATTTCCTGTATCAGTTTACAAGTAGTTAATTAAGTAAAGCATTATGAAATGTTCTGCTTTTCTTAATTCAACATGTGCAGGCATGTTATGATACATGCCTTAGATAGGTGGGACTTGATCATGGATCATCTGGCCCAGGGCTGGGGTCACTACCATTATGCTGCAAAAGCCCTCCCTGAAATGTTCTGAGATTGAAAGAGGCAACTGTATATACATGTAAGTCTTTCGTTGAGAAAAGGCACCATTGGTGACCCACAGTGAAGTCTTCACTGAGTCTAGCATCTTTGTGAAACTTGCCCATTCATAGTCAAGTTTAATCTGTCCCCATCTGACATTGGTATATTTGTGCTTCCTGCAGAAGTCAGGGATTTGGTGAGGGGGGCTCTAGCTATGTTTTCAGGAACACTGAGACCAATTGTAACAACACGATTGCCAACGAGCCAGAGGTCAGCTGCATTAGCAGAGACAAGCGGTCATGATTTTGTCTCTGTCCATGCTGTTTTGTTCAATGTGTAACATTCCTCTCATTTACTTACAGACCCTAAGGACTGGGATACCTCCTCAGGACAATATTGATGTAAACAACTATGTGCATTTCCAGTTTTAAGATTCACATGATCACCTGCCTATCACAAAAGAACTCCCACTGTGATTGATCCCATCAAACAAATATCCTATTACATATTGCACATCATAGCATTTAGAATGAATGTCAGTAGTGAAGATACTATCAATCCTTTCCTGAAACAGACTCTTCTCTATGACTATAATGGTACGTGCGTGGGCACTTCCTTGGGGCATGCTTGCAACAAAAGCAGTGCCCGTCACCTTCAGCTGCCAGTCTTCACCAGTGCAGCGAAAGTTAGAGTCGGGATCACTATTCTTGTTTTCACTATTTCTGCAGTCTGTAACCTTGCTGTGCTGTGGACGACCACTCAGAATCGCAAGAGGAAATCCCACATAAGAATTTTGATCTTGAATCTAGCTGCTGCGGACCTCCTGGTAACGTTCATCGTGATGCCTCTGGATGCCAGCTGGAACATCACAGTTCAGTGGCAGGCTGGGGACATTGCCTGTCGGCTACTGATGTTCCTAAAGCTCGTAGCTATGTACTCCTGCGCTTTTGTCACTGTGGTGATTAGTATAGACCGACAATCTGCCATTCTAAATCCTCTGGGCATCAGTGAAGCCAAAACGAAGAATAAGATCATGTTGACAGTAGCTTGGATTTTGAGTGTCATCTTGTCCATTCCACAGGTGAGAGCTGCTTAGGAATTGGGAGTGCAAATTGCTTAACATTTGGTGCTCTTGTTTCTTTTTTGCAGTTGAATTGTGGAATAGCCTTTGTACAAATCCAAATAATATTCTAAAAAAATTGAATGGATGGTGTCTAAAGGCACCATATTTTAACCTCTGTAGAGACCTTCTATTACAACTGAACTGCATAACAAACCACTCTCATGGTTCTCCAGGGTCAGGAACTCTTGAGTCAGTTCTTAGGCCACTCAAAAGTAATGGTCCTCATGTACGTAAAGGAAGTGACAGGGAGATTTCCCATTGGGAACACCATATCACTAGCCTGAGGGGTTAGTGGAGTCTGGGGCTTGTTCCTGTCGTTGTGCCTTTCAGTCAGAAACTGTCCTGAGAATTCAGCTCGAGTCTGAGAATCTCAAATGTAAGATGTATTCAATATTGACAGTCCAGTGTTTCAGAGAGATCAACTGAAGAAAAATCTCTTTGTTTTAAAGTACACTGTCTTCATGAACTGAAGAGTTTAACTTAGAAACAAATGGGGCTGAGCGACAGAGAGAAGGCTCGAGAGCTGATATATGATCTTATAACTGTTCCTCACATTTAGGCTATTAACTTGTCTTAAACATCTTTTCTGTTCAACGCTGTGCACCTCAAAGTGAGTGATTTTGGTGTTGGAGACTGGAACATGCTTTTCTCTGGGGACTCAAAGACAATGGCAAGTGCTTTAATGGCAAGGTCTGGTTAAGCACAGATTATGTACAAAATAAAATTCCATCTACATTGTACACAAAACGAGGTCAAGAGCAACGAAAGTTTGATGTAAGCATGAGCTCCTTTTATAACCACTGTTGCAATAGAGTGACATTCCTCGATTTTCTACGTGTTATCCTGTGTCTTCCTTTAGGAGATTAAAAAAACTCCATTCTGAGCGGACTCATGTCAAACTATGCAGGTGCATGGAAGAAAATTTCCTTTCATCATCTTAGGCTGGATTAAGATGTTGTAGAAACAATGGTATAGGATTGAGTACTTTCCTGCCCCATCCCCTTATTTTAATATCCCAGAAATAAAGGGTTAAATTCTGCCTTCCGTCCTCTGGCGGGACAGTTTTATGTGAAATTTTGCCATGCTTTTTCTTAAAGCCAAATCCTCAAATTAAACATGCAATTTTTTTTAAAAAAACACTCATTGGATGTAAGCATAGCTGGCTGAACCAGCATTTATCACCCTTGAACCGATTGGCTTGCTAGGCCTTTTCGGGGCAGCTAAGAGTCAATCACATTGCTGTGGCTCTGGCATTATATGTAGGCCCCAAACCAGGCAAGAATGGCAGTGAACCAGATAGGTGTTTACATCAATCATTAAACTCACTGTTAGTTAGAGTTTTTATCGAATCCAGATTCATGGTGGGATTTGGACCCATGCTCTCAGAACATTAGTCTGGGATGCTTACTAGCACAGTGATATTACGACAAGGCTCTGAACAGACCACTCAGATCCTCAAGAGACTTTTTAAAAATAGTTTGTGGAGCATCATTAGAATTGCAGCTTAGATGGAAGACTGAAGGAGTTTGTTCAGTTTGTAGACCCTGGGATACAACTGGTGAGAATAGGCTTCTTTCCAGTCACTAACTGAGATGGCTGTCAATTCAGCCTAGTCTCTCTCTGGAGGTCAAACAGCAACTGATGTAGAATTCCAGATTGTAGCTATTTTACATCACCCTGTTCGACATGTTACAATATACATCCAAGGCAGATGGGACTTGAACCCATACTTTCTGGCCCAGGGTCACAAGGGAAAACAAGCTCTTTGGTATTTTCATTCAACCTGTTCAGCAATGTTATTAGACAGCTGTGGTGCAGGTGGAATTTGAACTGGGGTCTCCTGGCTCGGAGGTACTGACACTACCACTGCATCATAAGAAAACTCAAGATGGAACAGGTAGTTTTTCAATGAGTATTGATTTAAACACAGTAAGAAGTCCCTGTTTTTGGATCAAAAGAAACAAGTTGTGGAAGTTCACCATATCGGTGATAAAATCGAGAAAAGGGCTGAGATTAGAGCTTAGAGTTGAGCAAAAGACAAGTTATCAGATTCTGAGATAGTAGGTACTACAGATGCTGGAGAATCTGAGATAACAAGGTGTAGAGCTGGATGAACACAGCAGGCCAAGCAGCATCGGAGGAGCAGGAACGCTGACGTTTCGGGCCATTTCTGAAGAGGGGTCTAGGCCCAAAACGTCAGCCTTTCTGCTCCTCTGATGCTGCTTGGCCTGCTGTGTTCGTCTAGCTCTGCACCATTTTATCAGATTCTGCTTTTTTTTTCCCCACTCTTTATCCTGCCCAGAAACATTTAGAAATACCTTTTTTAAAAGCTTTCCCAGATAGGGGGACAGCACTTAAACTTTACGGTATTACAAAAATCAAGCATTACTAGACTGAGCTTGCACCTGCAAAATCCTATTTAATCAGTGAGAAAGGCTGAACAAAATCAATGGAAAATCACTTTCAGCGGTTGAGTTCAAACATCAGATTATTCTTTAAAATCTGTGCACAGTGATTTTACTGGGTCTGTCTATTCCTGACCATCATGATGAGAGAGTCATCTATTCTTCTGCTTTTTTTTTCAAAATCTGCTCCATCTTTTAACCTGTTCTGGGTCTGATGAAAGGTTGCTAACCTGAAACATTAATTCTGTCAGGTCTGGCAATATCTGTGGTGAGAGAAACACAGACAATATTTTGACTTCAGTGTGACTTCTTCAGAACCAGAAAGGGCTGGAAATTTTGTTTTATACTTTAAACAGAGATGGAGGAGGGCAGAGGGGAACAGATGGTGCGGAGGCCCAGTGGAAAAGACAAAGGGGTTGCAAAGTGTAATGAAAGAGAAATGGAAATTTCAAATGAGTGTAAATTAAGGTGTGAAAGGAGGAAAATGAGAGAGCAAAGTAGACATGACACAAACAAGACAAGACTATTAGGGGGGATTGGGGAGCCCTGGGGAATGTAAGTAAAATGAAGAACAGGCATTATCAGGTCATGCTCTGAAGTTGTGGAATTCAATATTGAGCCCTAGAGGCTGTAAAGTGCCTAAGCAAGAAATGAGGTGTTGTTCCTTGCATTTGTGTTGCGCTTTATCATTATATTGCAGCAGGCTCAGATCAGAAACGTCAGCATGAGAGCAAGGTGGCTTATTGAAGTGTCAAGCAACTGGATTTCTATGGACAGAATGGAAGAGTTCCACAAAGCAGTCACCCAGCCTGCGTTTGGTCTCACCAATGTGAAGGAGGCTACATTGTGAAAATGCAGCAGGCTAGATTGAAAGAGGTGCAAGTAGAATACTACTTCACCTGGAAGTTGTGTTTGGGGCTTTGAACAGTCAGGATGGAGGAGGTGAATGGGTTAGTGTCACACTAGATTGTCTGCAATTGCATTGGAAAGTGCCTTGGCGGAGTGAAGAAGCATTAGGATGGAGGAGTCATCTAGGTTGTTATGGAGAGAATGGTCCCAGTGAGTCAATGACAGTAGCAGGTAGGGGAAGATACGTTGGTGGTGGCATCCTCCTGGATGATGATCCTTTAAAGGGAAGACTAGTTAGGTGGAAAGTGAGGATGAGGGGAACCCTGTCGTTGTTCTGGGAAGGACGGAATGGGGTGAAGATAGAAGTGTGGGAGAGGGTTGAGGGCCCTGTCAGCCACAGTGAGGGGAGGTCCTCAGTTGAGGAGAAAAGAGGTTGTGTCAGAGGCACCCTGCTGAAAAGTGCCATACTCAGAACAAGTGTAATGGAGATGGTGGATCTGAAAGAATGGAATGGAATCCTTTCAGGAAGTAGGGGATAAGGAAAGTTTCATGCTAACACAAATGAAGCACAGTGCAATCTCGAGGACAACACTTCATGTTCCAGTTCAGCACTTTACAGCCTCAAGGTCTCAATATTGAATTCCATGGCTTCAGAGCCTGACTACATGATGCCTGTTCTCTACTTTTCTTACATTTCCACATACCTACCACCATGGTCTTGTCTTGTTTGTATCTTTCGCACCTCTGTTACATCTCTGATTATCTTTCCTCCCAATTAACGACCCTTTTGTCTTTGCTGTGGGCCTCTGCATTATCTGTTCCCTTACTCCTCTTCTGTCAAAAGTATAATAAACAGAAGGGTGAAATGGTGGCTCAGTGGTTAGCACTGCTGCCTCACAGCACCAGGGTCTCAGGTTTGATTCCAACTTGGATGACTGTGTGGAGTTTGTACATTTTCCCTGTGTAAGCATGAGTTTCTGCTGGGTGCTTCAGTTTCCTTCCACAGTCCAAAGATGTGCAAGTCTGGCAGTATTGGCCACCCTAAATTGCCCATAGTTTGCAGGGGGATGGGTCTGGGTGAGATGTCCTTTAGAGGGTCAGTGTGGACTTCTTGGGCCAAATGGCCTGTTTCCACACTGTGGGGATTCTATTTAATGAAATGCTTTCCAGTTCTGAAGAAGTCATACTAGACTGAAAAAGTTGAACTGTTTCTCTCTCCACACATCCCACCAAACCTCCTGAGTTTCTCTAATTTCTCTGTATTTGTTTCAGATTTCCAGCATCTACAGGATATCACTGTTATTACATTCACTCTGTTTCTGTCTCCACAAATGCTGCCTCACCCATTGAGTGTTTTCAGCATTCTATTGTTATTTGAGTTTACATGAGATTTCGATATTGCCAACTTCAGTCAAATATACTTCACTTTAATCCCATAGTCATTACAAATTCTCAACAGCAATTTTCAAATGAGACAAACAAAGAGTAAACAGACTCCCACAAGGCTTGCACTCCTCAGATATCCTAAGCTGTTCTCCTCACAAGTCTGGATGACATTATCATAGCACGTGATGCTTGTAGACTCCTCAGTATTAAGACTTTTAGACCCATATGCAAATTCTCACTCTCTCTCTCCAACTTATTCTCTCTCTCCCACCCTTTCCCATCTTCCTCTTTATATGGCCTCTCCCCCTTTAAAACCTGCTTCATTTTCACTAGTTTTCCTTTGGCATGACATTTATGTTGCTGATTCCCCCTTGTACAGTCTTTGGGAATTTTAAAGCACATTATATATATAAATACAAGTTCTTCTCTTATGGTAGATATCAACAAACCTTGTATATACTGTAGCAGTTTAAGTGGGTGTCATTGAGAACAGCAGCATCATTGTATATTGTAAGGAACAATTGTGACATGAATAGCAGAGAACTACTTAAAGTTCTTATAACTGGAAATTTATATTCTTCTGACATATTCACTGGCAACATAGGCAATTATTAAAGAAGCAGCGAACAACATCTACACAGAAATAGTTACAGTGATATAGAAAGAAATTTAAAGCGGTAATGCCTAATCTATTCTTTTTGTTCTGAGGTAGTTGAGTTACTTGGAGAGATGGAAGACTGTATTTGAAACTTCATGCTTTTTTCTTATAGATTGTCTTGTTTCACACTGTAAGTATTACTGAGCCTCAGAACTTCACACAGTGTTCCACAATGGGGAGTTTCAAAGAACACTGGCAGGAGACCTCGTACAACATGTTCACTTTTGTTTTCCTGTTTCTCGTGCCACTGGTGATCATGATATTCTGCTACACCCGAATCCTGGTGGAGATATCAAAGAGGATGAACAAGGGAAATTGTAAGTTGAATATTGATTGTTACCTGTGTTTTCATCTTTCCTACATGGTCACTGTACTGAAATCCAAAATTTATCTCACAATCTCCTGCTGCTCTCTTCCATCTTGGAATATCACAAATTTCAGACTTTTTGATTCTTCCCATGATTTATTAATCTGTTGTCCAATAATTTTGATCTTGATGGTGTCCTGAATCAAAGGACTCCTTCCTTTGCCTTTATTTTTCAAAGGTTTTGTGCATTCATGCATAGTGCTGTGTTGTGTTGAGTCTCATTGACCGGGAAGGTGTAAGGTTCAGTCACAAGCTTATGTTGATCTCAGAGTGTGGAGTAACTATAACAGGCATATTTCCCTAGGCTCGGAAGGGAGATATAGACACTGGGGATTCCAACACCAATAGCTCTCAAGAATCTTTGGTGGGAAACTTTTCACATGTAGTTGTTGGATGACTGTAGGAATAGACTTAGATGTAATGCTCTGGAAAGCCAAATAGTCCACAATTATTCACTTCCCAGGCTCTTACGTGGAAAATGGTTGCTTCATGAAAGCTTACCAACACCTGTGGATTGCATGCCTGTCAGAAAAGAAGACAATTAGTATGAAAAAATTCCTCAAAGTGATTACTTATTTCTGTAAGTTTTTTGTAACCCTCATGAAGGTCTTAGAGGTCATATTATTTTGTTTTGTGTCCTCTTCCAGTGTCCTCAAAAGATGTGCATTTAAGGCGATCGACAAATAACATACCAAAGGCACGCATGAAAACGTTAAAAATGAGTATAATTATTGTAACCTCTTTCATAGTGTGCTGGACTCCATATTACCTCCTAGGACTTTGGTATTGGTTCTCGCCAGAAATGCTATCAGAAGGAAAGGTCTCCCAAGCATTGAGCCACATACTCTTCATTTTTGGCCTCTTCAACACTGTTTTGGATCCCATCACCTATGGTCTCTTTACCATCCATTTCAGGAGAGGCTTGCAACATTGCTGCCATTCTGCTAAGATGGTATCCAATTCAGATCTCAATTCTACATTGACCAGATCGTTCAGGTGTTCTGCATCATCTCTTCGCCTCAAAAGGTTAACTGCACTTGCTCAAGAAGATCACAGATCAATGGCAGAAGATGAACGTCATAGTTAAGGCAGTTGCTACAGCAATGGTTATCTTGACATATACAAAGATGATGCCAGGAAAAACATCAGTGCAAGTGCAGAAAATACTCTGTAGACGATCGCAATCACCATGCAGCCTTGCAGCACAAAACAAGACTACTATAATCTTTTAAATAATGGCTTAGTTGCAGTGCGCATGTTTTAATTTTCCTAGTTCTCCCTAATGGTTTACATTTTTGTTTCTTTTCTTTGTTCCAATACTTGACCTTGTGTGTTCCTTATTATTCAAAAGTAAATCATTTCTCTATCTATAAAAGCTAGAAACAAAGCCACTGATTCTCTCATATTACCACTGATATCAAATAAAATCGAAATGTATTTAGCACTGTATTGATCCCTATGGTAGAAAGAAACATTTCTAAGTATTTCAACTCTTTCAGATGCCAGCTAATATGAAACATTCAAAAGCCCTGAGAGTCCACTGCTTACGTTGGTTATCTTGAGGAACAGTAAACTGAATATTATTGGCTTCTCTGATTGGAGAAGGATACTTTCCATGGGAACTTCTTTTAGCCAGAAAAGAACACCTGATAGGGAGTGCTTAAGAATAGATAAGCATCATGGCCTAAGCCAAAAAAGAATATATAAGAAATATTTGCTAATCTATGGAGCAGAAAAACAGCCTCTGCAGGGCATACAGACATTACTGACATGTTTAATGAATTAGATTGATTGTTCAGGTGGGGAAGAGTATAACGATATGGATTGAGAGGGCAGGAGTATGACCTTTAAAGAGGCTGTTTGGGAATGCCCAGAATGTCAAATGGAGGTGTATGTGTTAAATATTCTTTTCTTTATTTGTGAAATATTAACCTTTGATCTTACAATTGGGAATTTAAAAAGGAATAAAACTATCATGAATGCTCAGTCACAACAGGGACTCGGATTGTTTTGCTTTGGTTGACAAGGACAAGTTTGGCCGAGATTCATGTGACAAGATTGTTTTGTTGCAGTGGTTCTTTGCTTCCTGCATATTGCCATATATTACGCACACAATGTCCAGAATGCAAGAGGCAGTGAATGTGGTACAAAATATTAACAAAGCCAGCCTTGCCTTGCACCAGTGCTGAACAGTAACAGCGGCTTACTGATTTAGTGTCTTCTGGCTTGTAATTGTGTGTCCACCTCCTTTGGTTTTCCTCCATTGAGTTAGATGCAAGAGTTTTAATGTTATTGTTACTGCTGATCCTGTGGTTAAAAATAAGCAGCAAGTTGTCTTAGTTGGCATTTATATCTTAACACCTGTTTCACTTGTAATGCTACAATCTCCACTGATGCAGAGCAAATCTTCAGCAGTCTAATTGGGTCCCTGCTCGGAAACAATTCCTACTTGAATGGACCCAAATACTTGTTGCAGAAGATGTACAAAAAGTTAATTAAACATGTCCCACGCAAATGAGATCATGGTGCAGGATATCATAGAGTTTCAGATTGTTTTCACTTAGTGTTAAGCCTGATCATGCATGAAGAACATTTAAAAAAAATTCTTTTTCTGCAAATGGAATTTCCTGAAAGGATAGAAATGGGAATTTGTGGCCTATTTTTGGAGGGGCTAGAGTTTAATTTTGATGCAGTGCTTAAAGGGAAAGTGTATACATCACAAAATCACAGAATTGCTACAAGATAGAAAGAGGCCATTCAGCCCATTATGCCTGTGCTGGTTCTATCCCCATGTGCCAATCTCCTGTCTTTTGCCCATATCCCTGCACACCATTTCTATCCAAATAATCATCCAGTGGCCATCTTGAATTCCTCAGTTGAACCTGCCTGCCTCCACCACATTTCCAAGCAGTGCATTCCAGACCCTAACTACTCACTGTGTGAAAAAGTTCTTTCTCACATCACTTTAAATCATGCCCCCTTGTTCTTCTTTTTAGTATGAACAGGCACAGCTTCGCCCTATCTAATCTATCCAGCCACTCATCACTTTGAAAACTTCTATCAAAAGCACGATACAAATATTTGAAAAGAAAACTTCAATTTATGGGGCAATAGCAGTGAGATGGGATAAAGTGGTGAGCTGTCCCAATGGGGGAGCACAGATCCAAGAGGTCAAATATCTTCCACCATATGCAAGAGAATTTGATGGATCTAATCAGATATGAATTGTGGGCACTGTGGACTTGATGGCTAAAATCACTTACTTTTTTCTCCTGGTAATGTGTTCACCAGATCAGATACTAGGGATGAAACAGAAGTTGCTGGAAGAGCTCAGTAGCTCAGCAGTTTCCAACAACTTCTGTTTTTGTTGCTGATTTACAGCATCTGCATTTCTTTTGGTTTTTATTCCAGATACGAGGGATGGTTTGAACCCCATGATATGGGTAAGGGGAGGGGATAGAGGTTAAATTCTGGAAGTTAACCCCAGTCCACTGTGAATCCAGTTTTTGGTTTAATCTTGTTGAGATTTTGAATGGTGCAGGTGACTAATGTGCACTCAACCCTAACCCTAATCCTAACCCTATCGCAGGAGCAGAATGTTAGATGTGCCAATGACATAGTTCACCTCAGATTTTAACAAACCTTTGAATATAATGATCATGTGCCAGGTTCCCTTATCCACAGGGCAGCCACTGGAGAGAGGAACACTTGTTGCAACGGGGAAATAATTTTCCATCATTGCTCATAGGCCAGGAGGAGCTGAGTTAGGAGCACTCCCAACAGTTTGTCCCCAGCAATCTCTCTCCAAGAAAACTTCACCCTTCCCCTCTCAAAAATCTTACCCCAGTCCAGTGTAATCCCTCCATCACTCAATCCCTCTTTCTTCACCACTCCATTCCCAGACTCTGTACATCTAGTTCTGCCCTTCTCTGAAGCCATACGGTCAGTTTGCCTCTGAGATATAGATATACAGCACAGAAAAAGGCCTTTGACCCATCGTGTTCGTGCTGGTCATAAACAACCACCTAACCATTCTAATCCCACTTTCCAGCTTTTATTTTACCTCACTGTTAGGCTTCCTATTGCTGGGAAGCAAATTGTAAAATGTGAAATGAGGTCATGTTACAAAATCTAGCGCATCCTTCAGCTTTCTCAACCACCAAAACCCTCCTCATCATTTTCAGTGTTTTCTTCAAATCATTTTTCCCTGACTCATTTCATACGCAACCAGCAATTTTATCTCTTTAGCACATTAGATGAAGTATGCATGCGGACAATTTGCAAGTTATAACTAAAACCTCATTCAACTGCAACAGCCCATTTACACTTGAAAATGTGGGAAATGCAATTTATATTTGCAAAATCTTTCTTAGCCCACATGTTTACAATCCAAGCATAAATGTGTTGATTTAATACGTGTTACACTTTACTTGTAAAAATGACTTTTATTGTTGTCTCGTTTCCTAAAATCAATTATGATGAATTGAATTTACCATGTGAATGAGGTATTTTTTCTTCTTAATTGAGTGACAAAATCTCCATGTAATAAAACAATGCTTAAATATGATTGCATTTGTACGGATTAGATTTTATTCAAGAATCCTTTGGCAATCTTCTGACTCACCAGGTAATCATTTGCACCTTAGTGGTCAAATTCAGATGAATAAGAAGTGTTCTTATTGAAACATGTACAATTCTGAAAAGACTAGAGTGGGTGGATGCTGATTTAGGGGACACAATTTTAAAAATAAGATCTCTCCTATTTAAAAGGGAGATGAGGAGGAATCATTTCCTTCAGTAGGTCCTTAATCTTTGGAATTATTTGCTCCAGAAGGTAAGGGAGGCTGGGTCACTGAATATTTTTAAGGCTGAATTAGATTATTGACTGATAAGGGAGGAAAAGGAAATGTGGAGAAAGCAGGAAAGTGGAGTTGAGAACACAATCAGATCAGCCCTGACCTTATCAAATGTCAGGGTAGGCTCAAGGGACCAAATGGTCTGATCCTGCTCTGAATTCATTTTTAAGCATTGCTCAGCATGACTAAGAACATGTACTGTGGCATGGCAGTCTCTGCTGTGTTTGCTGGAGGAGATGACAGTGGCTGAGAATTGGTGCAGGATTCACTGGCTCACTCTCCAGGCCCCTTTGTCCACCAGCTGAGCTTTCCATTCCTCCTCGTCTCTCCCAATTCCCGGGAAACCATCAGTCTCCAGAGGTCACAGCTGTCGTCAATGGTCTCCCAGTATTCTGTGTTGATGTTTGTCACCTTCGTGTCTCTCTTCAGGATGCCTTTGTGGCAGAGACACAGAGGTCCAGCAGGCCTGTACATTGTACGAAACATCTTGGCCACACATCTGTCATCAATTGGATGAATGCAGGGAGTCAGCACTGATGTCATTGGCTGAGTGCATGAGAATCATGTGAAAACAATTGGCAAATTCCTTCAGTATCGCTGGGTCAAAATCCTGGAATTCCTGTCCAAAATCACGTTGTAGGTCCACCATTTGGAATTTGGCTCAAGGAGGCAGCTCACTGCTCAAGGGCAACTGAGCATAGGCTGCAAATGCTGGCCCAGCCAGTGACACTCATATCAGAGATAGCAGGAACTGCAATGCTGGAGAATCTGAGATAACAAGGATGAACACAGCAGGCCAAGCAGCATCAGAGAAGCAGGAAGGCTGACGTTTTGGGCCTGGACCCTTCTTCAGAAATAGGGGAGGGGAAGGGGGTTCTGAAATAAATAGGGAGAGAGGAGGATGTGGATAGAAGATGGATAGAGGAGAAGATAGGTGGATAGGAGACAGACCGGTCAAAGAGGCGGGGATGGAGCCAGTAAAGGTGAGTGTAGGTGGGGAGGTAGGGAGGAGATAGGTCAGTCCAGGGAGGATGGACAGGTCAAGGGGGTGGGATGAGGTTAGTAGGTAGGAGATGGGGGTGGGGCTTGAGGTGGGAGGAGGGGATAGGTGGGAGGAAGGACAGGTTAGGGAGGCGGGGACGAGCTGGGCTGGTTTTGGGATGCGGTAGTGGGAGGGGAGATTTTGAAGCTTAACAGCAACCCATATTCCGCTTGGGAACCCTGCAGCCCA